GAAAAAGCCATGCAGCTTTTATCAGTTTCTCTTAGGACACTTACTCTTGAAACCCAGCCATCAGCCTGGCCGGGCGTGGCTCAGCGGTTGAGCGTGGACCTAGGATCCCAGAGGTTGTGGTTTGGTTCCCGGTCAGGGCATATGCCTAGGCTGTGGATTCAATACCCCCCAGTTGGGGGCGTGCAGGAGGCAGCCGATCAATGACTCTTTCATCATTGATGTTTCTATCTCTCCTTCTCCCTTCCTCTCTCTGAAATCAATAAAAGATATATTTAAAAAAAAAAAGAAAAAAGAAAGAAACCCAGCCATCATGCTGTGTGGAAGCCCAGGGTACCTGAAGAGATCTCTGGCCCTTAGCCCCAGCTGAGCTCCCAGATGAAAGCCAGAATCAACTTGCCAGCTAGCTCTGTGATTAAGTCATATTGAAAGCAGATCCTCCAGCCCCTAGTCAAGCTGACCCAGCTGATGCCACATATAGCATAGGTCCAAACCTAATAAGCCCTACACAAATTGCAGAGTTGTGAAAAAAATAAGTACTTGCCATTATTCTAAGCCATTAAGTTTCGAGGTGGTTTGGTACGCAGCAATGGATAACCAGAATACCTTATGTACTTAAAAGGCTAAAACAGCATCTAGCCCCCAATCAATGCAGACACTTCTTTCACTTCTGAATGTTTTCACTCACGTGGAGATCAGTTTCTCACAAAGCCACACTTCCACTGATGAACAACTAGGGGAATTATGACCTGTCTTATGTTAAGATCAATTCTGTCCTTCCTAACCTCTGGTCTATTTCTATCCTCTGAGGTGACCATTACTATCTAACCCCTCTTCCTCAGACAGGCCTTTACCTTGTTAAACAGTGGAGAAATCTTTAGCACTGTCCCATGTTATAGCCGAGGAAACTGAAATGCACAAATTGGCTGCTTTATCCAAAGTTCCACAACAGACACTGAATAAAATGCAGTTACTTGAATCTCTGGTATAAGGTTTTTGTTTAGTATGATTCCTTTAGAATATGAGGCAGATGTAACGGATACAGGATGTGCTGTCTATACTCAAAAATCATAATTTTCATATTTATTCTATCATTTATTTCTACCATCTAGGAGGAGTACTGGTATGACTAACAGGAAAATGAAATCTACTTTTCTGTACCACTCCACTCATCTTCCCTCTGTACTTAAAGATTTCAACTAAAAAAAAAGCCAGTCAGCTCTTCAAGGGCAGGGATAATTCTTATCATTTTGATTCTTCCTTGGTGTTTGAGTACATATACATATTGAATAATTCGCCTAGCTATGAGAGGCAGCATATAGATAACAAGGATAAAAGCATTTCTAAATGATTTAAACACAGATCTTACAATCCAAAAATATTTCTCATCATGTCAATGTAGTAATTGTACAGTAAGCTATTTTTTTTCTTTTTTTAAAGTCAACAGCAACAGAAAATGAACTTACACTCTTGATTACAGTATCAGTCACCATGACAACACTTAGTCCCCAAGCATTCTTTCTAATTGAGACAATTTCTCCTAGCTCCTGTCCCCTAAGACTGACCCAATTACACAGCTCAAAACCCAAAACCCAGAGGATGCCTCTCAATAAAGATACTCTGATTACACAACCTAAGGAAAAATTTAAACATGATTTTTCCAAGTTGTGAGGAAACTTTTCAGGCAACACATTTTGTTTTTACACCTAAAGTCTTACAAGCTGAATAGTAATTGTCTGATATAATTTTAAAACTGTATATGCTATATACTCCACGATCATGTTATAGAAGCCTTTTAATACAAACGATTCTGTTAATATATATGCAACATATCTCATTTATGTTTTGTGCTCTGTATTTGCATTCTATTGCTTTTAAGATACAGTTACAATCTTCTGAGAGCAAGGAAGACCATGTTAACCTCGGTAAAAGCATAATTAGACTAATACAGAACATTTGCATACTAGCCCAAATAGGCCTCATGAGAGGTAAGAAACTAGAAAAAAAAATCTTTAAATCATATAAAATGTAGCAGGTTATCATAAATGAGGTACCCCAGAGTGAATTCCTAGTAATTCCAAAAGAAAGAAAACTCCAAAAAGAAAAAGCAATGATGAGAAATGTGGTGTCTCCATTATCTTGAAATGTAAGCTGGTAATTCTCTTTCTCTAATAGTCCAAAAGATTTAAAAATTGGGCTGTGTTTCAGAATCTAATGCTCATTTAGAAAAATTTTGATTAGTTGAGTTGATCAAGATTTTAACTTTTATTATACACATACCCAGAAACATGAGCTTATTTAACATACCCAGGAACATCTCTTACATCTCTACAACTAAAGTACCTAGTAGTGTTCCCAAAGAATGTTCCCTGTAAACTCAAAATAATGTCGACAATTGAAAGTTTACTATAAGCTCATTTGGGGGGAAAGCTTAGATGTTGGCATCCCTTCTTCTATTTTTCAACGAATTTACTTTCTTAGCCAAAAATCAAAAGGAAAAAAAAAAAATCACAGAACACACCCATTTACCTAAAAGGAGCAAGATTAACTAACATGAGATTCCAAGAAACCCAAACATCATATTAATTATGATTAATTATAAAACAATTTATTATAAAGTAATGACTTAGAGGGCAACCAAGATTACTCTAAATAAAAAACAAAAGCACTTTAGTTTTGGCCTATGATTTCAAAACAAAAAGCTAAAATAAAAATAAATACACAGCCCTCTCTATGGCAGACAGTTGAAGCTTAAACAGCATTGTTAGAAATACTAAGGCTGAGGAAATGAGTCTTTTAAAAAGTACCCACCATGCCCGGCCGGGTGTGGCTCATCGGTTGAGCGTCGACCTGGGATCCAGGCAATTGGGGTTCGATTCCCAGTCAGGGCACATGCCCGGGTTGCGGGCTAGGCAGCCGATCAATGACTCTCTCATCATTGATGTTTCAGTCTCTCTCTCTCCCTCTTCTTTCCTCTCTCTGAAATCAATAAAGATATATATATTTTTTAAAAAGTGCCCACCAAGTAATTTTAAACCATAAGTACAATCTTCTTGTATGACAGAAAGCACAATACTTTCCATTCTTACATTATAAACCCTGCTACAAGTAGGGATAAGAGAGAATAAATACACCAGGAATGATCTGAGAAACAGGGGCAGAAATATGGGGCTGAGCAGTCTGCAAAAAGCATCCACTTTCTTAAATCTGACACTTGGAGAACCAAGTTCACATGAATAAATTCTTCTGGGGATTGGAAACCACACAGGCAGGTCTGTGAAATCAAAACATTAACAAGAAAAGTACCATAAAGCATTCATGGATAAAGATACATCACATTCACAAAACAAGTCTATAAAAGTTTAAGAAGACTGAAATCATATCAAGCATCTTTTCAGACATTTGTGCCATGGAATACTATGCAGCTGTAAAAAAGGATCCCTCACCCTATGAGACAACATGGTGGGACCTGGAGAGTATTATGCTAAGTGAAATAAGCCAGTCAGAGAAAGAAGTAGCACATGATCTTAATATGTGGAATCTAATGAACAAAATAAACCGATGAACAAAATAGATCCAGAGATACAGAAGCATGGAACAGACTGATGAATCTCAGAGGGAAGGCAGGAGTGGGTGGGGAGAGATTCACCTAAGAACTATATGCATATATGCATAACTCATGGCCACAGACAATAGTACGGTGAAGGNCAGTCAGAGAAAAACAAGTGTCACATGATCTCACTCATATGTGGAATGTAATGAACAAAATAAAGTGATGAACAAAATAGATCCAGGGACATGGAAGCATGGGACAGACTGAGGAATCTCAGAAGAAAGGCAGGGATGGGGTGATGGGTGGGGAGACATTAACCAAAAAATTTATATGCATATATGCATAATCGATTGACAGACAGTAGTGCAGTGAAAGCCTTGTGGGGGCAGGTACAGGATGACAGGGGTCAATGAGGAAGAAAGGGGGACATGTGTAATACTTTCAACAATAAAGATAAATAAAATTTAAAAAAAGATATGTAACATTAACCAAGGAGTTAACTTCACAATACCCATTTAAAAAATGTCTCATTTTGTTTGGAAGAAAAAAATTGATAAATGTATTCAAAGTATTTTACTAAACACCAATGGAGAACTATGTAGAAATAGGAAGCATTATGAAATTTATGACTAAGTGTGTTTTGTGCAAGCGTAGTGGACATTTTCAAATCTTTTTAATTTCTGGCTATATGTTAAAGTAAAAATTAGAGTTTATTCATTCATTTAAAACAGTAAATACTGCCTGGTTTCTGCTGGTTATTTTCACCATTCAGTCTTAACACACATTCCAAGACTGATTATATTTTCATTATTCCTTTAGGATAACTGGAAGAGTAGGGGAAGCAGAGCTGTAAGCTGAACAGTCCACTTGTGTAAGAAAATTCAGCAGTGGAATATACCATTAGGTACCAAAGAGATTTACTGGCTAGGGTAGACAAAAGAGAAAACAGCCCCAGAAAGAACATAAGCCGCGAAAGAGATGAGAATCAGTCCCATGTGTAACTCGAGGACTGGACAAAACCCCGCTCAGCGCTGCGGGAGAAATGAGCAGATTTGAGATTCCGGCATTGCCGGCTCTCCTTCCCTCTCTGGAGGCCATCCTGGGACCGCAGGTCAGGGTGTGGAGCCGCGGCAAAGCCTCCAGGGGTTTAACTTAGGCATCTACCTGCACAAAGTCTAAGCCTCCTTTCAGCGCTTCCGTAGCGCCCTCTCTAGCGCTTTATTTCGTGGTTCCTCCAAAAGTCATTCATCTTGACTTCAAATACGAGAGGGAGGGAGTGGGAAGAGGGGGAGAAACGGAGGCAGAGAGGGAGGGAGAGAGAGAAGGCGAGAGGGGGGGGAGAGAGAGAGCCAGCTGTTGGGCCGATCCCCTCATCCCTCCCGGGCCACAAGGGACCCCTTGCGGAGTGGCTCTGGAGGACTGAGACCAGAGGCTACAGGACTCTGGTTACCTTCTCGCGCTGGTCCCAGCTGTACTGCTTCGGTGGCTCCTCCTCGCCCTTGGGCTGCGACTCTTTTTCAGAATTCCGCCTCTTGGAGAAGAAGCAGCCCATGGTCCCGGCCCGTGGGTCTCCCGGCCGCTACTCTTGGCCAGCCTGCTCGTTCAGGCACCTCCTGGAGTGTGGCGTGAACCCCAGGCGCCGGGTCCCCGCGGATCTCTGGACACCGCCCAGCAGCCAGGAGCCTCAGTTCGCCCGCTAGGCCTAACACCACTACT